TTCTGAGTGCATGTAGAAGGATAAACAACGGTCCCAAGATCCTTGCTTTCTCCTGATGTTTTATATGCTCTCTGCCTCCTTTCCTCTCAAGATTTATTTTCACTTGTGATATGCTCCTTTACTGCATATCGCATCTATCATTAATTGCTCAGGCTATGGTTCGGGTATAACTTTCATGTTAACATGCAATGCCACTCCAGAAATATTTGGTATGCCAAAAAACCCAGTCTTAGGGCAAATGTCAAATCGTTCACAGCATACAAAAAAGAAATCTTCAGATGACGCTCTTATAACAATCCCACCACATTTACTCCATCTGCTTAAGAGTGCAAACTTTCACAGATTATCAGTTTCTAATAAGTTTCACAAGGGCAATGTATTCCAAATATGTTTCTATGGATATCTAGCAGATGGATGCTTGAAAAATAAAAGCATTGTTATTTCATCCGAAATCCCATGAAGATGATTTGCAGCATTAAATTAATCCTAAGTTTCTTTGGTATAAAGAAATATAAAAAAAGAAAAAGTATAATTTTTTTTTAATAAAATGGCATATTTCCATCTACTACTGCAAGAATAGCACAGCAGTGTCTCTAAAGGTAAGATTGAGCTGAAAGAACCAAAGCCGTTTACTGCATGATTCAGTGATGTAACCTAATTCCTGGTTTTGCACAACACTTTATAAGATAACTGTATTTGCTCTGGAACATATACTAGCTTCTACAAGGGCAATGATCTGAAAGATAGATTTATTTTTGTCTAAATTTTACTTTGTTCTACACATTTGTTTTCATTTCTCCAGCTATCAAATACAGTTCTCACACAGATCAATCTTTTTATGCATACGCATTCTCACAACCCTTTGTGCAATGGAAGGGAAATAGACTGAAGCTGGGACAGAGATTTAATGAGATACAGGGTGCATGTAAAATGTGACAAAACCACAATTGCTCACATCGTTTGACTTTCATTGAGATATCTTAAAGCTGGCAAATAACTCAGAAGATTATGACTTTTCATGCGGAAATACATGTCAAAGGTTTCTTACCCATTTAAAAGGCAGGTGATTTTTTTAGTATCTTCAAGAATAAGTGAATATTTACAAACCCCAAGTCTAGACTTGGATTCCAACATCTAAGTACCTAAATGAACATAATTTGGCACCCTCTCTATATCCATTGATTTCAGATGTGCTTATTGGTACCTCACACATTTTGCAAAATCTGGCCACTTTTACTTAAGTATTGATTTAGAAGGCAGCACTTAAGCATTATCCCAACCCAGATCTTCTGCTCTTATGGTTCCATTTACATGACTTAAGCTCACCTATGGCAGAACTTGATCATTCTTGAAAGAGCTGGATTGTTGAAGCCCTCTCCAGTCATGGTAATGGTATAAAGACCCAGCAGAACCTTCACTTGGAGTGGGAAGAAGTGAGATGAAGCAATACACTTTTTGTGGAAGAATAAGGGTCCCACAAGAAGATGCTCAGCTGACTTTCAATGAGCTGCATCAGACAACTATAGCAAACTTCTGTACAATCCCTCTTAAACCGCTCAAGTGACAAGCTGAAGTGATCTAAACAAAAATTCCTGCACCTCAGATGTCTGGACAGACCGATGTCTTCGCTGAACACAGTTTCATTACCCCAACTCTGACCACTTTTGCATACCTCCTGTTTACTAACAAAAGGTAACCAATTTGCAAGGTCTACCATGGAAGCAATGGCAATGGTGTTTACTCTCCAAAGAGCAGCTAGTGATTTACCACAAAAGTTCTAGCAGTGGCTTGAATTATATTGGCGACTGGAAAAGAGACAGCCTGCAGGTGAAATTATTAGATACTGAACATATTTCCTTTTTTGTCAGCGCCTATTTTTCCTTTTTTCCCCTGTAGGTGCAAGGCTATTAAAAGAGTACTGTTCTTAATCAAACAGATCAACATTCTATTAAGCTACTTGAGAACAGATGTGTTTTGTAGGTTGCAGTCAAAAGTACTGCATTTGTTAAAAAAAAAAAAAAAAAAAAGGTACTCAGGTGAATAAGCTAGGTTCCCTCCCCCCCAAAAAAGAACAACAACAAAAAACCCCTCAAGAGGAATATATTCCAAACTTTCCTTAACAAAATAAACAAGAGAGAAAGGGGAGGGGAGCAGGGGAAGAGAACGTTTTAATTGATAAAATTAATACTTTTTAAACTTCAGTCTTCATTAAAGCTGTTTTGGTCTGAGTTTTCTCCTTTAATTCTCTTCTGTTACAGAATTAGTCAAAAATTACATTTATAATAGTTGTACCTTATTTTGAAGCTGTACCTTAAATGGAGGGGGTTTGAATCTCATTTGTTTCTACCTGAAACATTACCTAGCAAAATGAAATGTTTCACCTGGAGAAAACCTTTAAAAGCGTATTGGAATTCATGCTGCACACACTTGATCCTCTATTTGTTTCAAAGGCATCCAAAAAAGTGCATCCATAAGCCAGATGCAAATTCTACCTCTGTCTACACTGTAAACTTAAAACGTACTCCTTTAACTTTCCTTAGAGAGTCTTTCAATTTCATCTGTCGGTTATGATATATAAAGAGGTGTAATCTGAGCATCTATATGAAGACCAAAGAGAGAGAAAGAGTCTCTCAAGTTACTTTTCTAAGAGGGAAGGAGAAAAACAAAAATAAAACCTTCTTGGGCACTTCCTTACTTTTTTTAATTACTCAAGCTGTAAAGCAGGTGTAGTTACTTAAAGTCCAAAGAACCTTTAAAAAACAAGTATCTATAACATCTTCATTAGCACAAATATAAAAACATTTTAAACATTTAGTATCTTAGAGACTTCTTTCTGGTAAAAACGTTAGAGATTTTCTCTTCCCACCAATATTAAAAGAAATTCTTAGCCCTTAATTACTTGGTACAAACTATTTTTAGAATAATACCATTTGTACATATTGAAAAACTGCCACTGGTTCAGGATTGAGTCTTCGCCATCTGGGGGCTTGGCCAGCACTGCGGAGGGTTTTGGGGGGAGTTTTTTGTTGGGTTTATTTTTTAGGGGGGTTTGTTGTTGGGGAGGGGGTGTGTGTGTTTGTTTGTGGTTTTTAATTCTTAATGGCAGGAAGAGAATTTTAGAAGCTTGGCAACACCACAACAGTCTGTTAGAGAAGCTGATGGCAAGCTCTGAAGTGCACACTAAATACACCAGTACGCTGCAGTGATACACTGGGACCTCATGCATTTGTGTCCTCAGCACAGGCTGGGAAGAACACTTAGCTCGACAGCAAAACTCTGAAGCCTGTAGCCTGGTTGCATTAGAGAACCTAGACTGAACCAGGCCTAGGTCAATGTGGTACTGAGGAAGCCAAACCTTCCATATAAAAGCAACAAATTATATTACAATATTCGAGAACTCTCAAACCTGCTAAGGGAAGTTTGAAATGGTCAACTACTGTTCATAAAAAAAAAAAAAAAAAAAAAAAAAAAGCTTCCAAAATATAAAGCAGTGCCAAAAAGAGGGTTTAACTTTTAATCCTTCCCCAGAAATTATACTCCCCACAAATGGCAGGAAGAAGGAAAAAAGCTGCAAAGCTCATTAACAACACCTATCAAGACACATAAAAACGTGTTGCAATTTAAGATACCGATGCAGAAAAGTCCAGGTAGACAACCTAAAAATTATACAAAGAGGCATAAAAAAATTCAAACAAATCACAACTGAAAATTCTTTGTGATAAATCCTTAGAAGGAAAAAAAAGTATACATACTCTCCAAGTATTTAACAGTTAGAGAAATTTACTTTCTTCTGGGAGCCTGATACGTCAGTTAAACCTGTACAGCCTAGAAGCATCAATACAAGGTTGTTACACCTTATATTTTATTTTTTAATAAAGAGGATGGTTTTTCAAAAAGACAACCCACAAAAATTCTTAAGACTGGTCTTACACTTACAAAGTATACGGAGTATAAATGTTATTAAGAGCGGGTTAGGCAGCACACAGACACACAGCTTGATCTTCGAGGTCTGTTTCCATCATTTTCACTTCTAAGTTTAAGACATGCAAAATAAATACTTCTATATTCAAAAGTACGAGTGAGCAAATCTAAAGATCTAGAAGTCTCTCTTTATCAATACAACAAAAAATAACGAGGGCAACAAGTAATAGAATCAGTAATAGAAATGGAAATGGTGCTAATATGGTGGTTTGCATTTTATTAAGACACAAAGACCAATTACTGCCTATGAAAGCCCTTTCCAATACTAACATACTTGTGCAAGACAAAGTCCACTAACGTAGAAAATTCCATTACAACATCACTGCAACATTTGCTAACCATATTTCAAGGAGCAGCCTGAAATTTGAAGGGTGATCTAGAGCTCCCTTCACACAGCAAGAGAAGGAAATATAAAAGCTAGCATTTGTTTAGCAAAAATACCCAAACATAAAAATAAGCAAATTCTGCATTAGGATTCAGTTCTTAAAATATCTCCATTGTTGTCCTGGTTTCTATTTGCTTTCCACAATCCCCCAAAATGGCTTTCTTTCAAAACTGTTATATAAAGAGTCATTACTTGTTAAAGATGCCCAGAATTCTGGCAAGGGATTCCTTGGCTCCACTCATAGCTGGGGTTTGCATAGGAACAGAGGGGCGATTTTTCAACCAGATGTCACAACCCCAATACTTCTGGGTGTTCAAGAGCCCACACTACTGACTACAGCACCCGCAGGCGGAGCTGGAGCAACGCACACCAACTGTCCACGTGCTCCCTTTTCTCTGGCCATACCACCGCTGCTCCAGAGCAGCCCTACGCACTGGAGAACACAGTGTTTCGCAAAGTTGCTCAACATAGCCACGGGCAGATGTCTTAACACTTACGGGATGTCTAACTTTGTGCTATTTGTGGTATTATTCTAACGCAAGTTCCAAAACATTCCCTAACACCTTCATGCATGTCAATGCTGCATTAACAAGCATTTTTAAGCTTTCAAAGGTTTCCATAATATCGTCCTTACCTATGTAGTTTATCCTCCAGTATCTCCATGTACTTTTCAGCATTTTCTTTTAGAGTAGTCACTGCAAAATAAAAGTCAAAGTAAGGTAATGATATAACTGTACAGTTTTGTATCTTTTTTTTAAAACAATTCATCTCTTACCCACAAATTTTACATATATCAGTTAGAAATGAGAATTCCATTAATCTTTTCTACATCCAAATTACTGTGTGGGTGTCTTCTCCTTTTTTTTTCTTGAAAGTCTATTGTATCTGTATTACATTAATATATCTAGGAATTAACATGTTAACCTCTTGGTCGTGCCAGAAAAACGGTGAAACTAACAAAGGCACAGTTTGTAGAAGTTTCCTCTTGGCAAAAAAAAAAACAAAACCAAAAAACCAAAAAAAACCCACAAAGCAAAAACCAACCAAACAAGAAAAAAAAACAAAAACCAAAACAAAAACGCTCACACAGGTAGGCCCTCCCCTTTAGCTTCAGAAGAAGCAAGCAAGCCTAACTAATTCAGCAGTCCATGCACAAGAATCCTTTAAAGTGTTATGAATCTTACATCCAACTTCTGATAGAACTGAAATACTATGGAATGGAAAGAATTACCACTCAAGACTGTTATGAGATTTGGGGGGATTTTTTGTGGTTGGGTGTTTTAAGGGGTTTTGTTTGTTTTTAAACTTGGGACCTAGATACTGCCTGCATATGAATCCCTACAACTTCTTCACTCAGAAGAAGCTCCAATAAACTACTCACCATAATGCATAATAAAGCCATTCTTTTGGATGACACTTGGTACTCCATCATGGCTACAAATCGGGGAAAAGGTAAATCCCCTCCAAGAAAATGGAGGCTTTTAGAGGATAATAATTTTCACATTATGATAAATTTTTTACCCCTTCCCTAAGAGCTGCTTGCCAACTGCAAGTCTAGTAGGACTGTAAATCAGTTGGTCACTTTTAAACTCTTAATTAGTTTTGTAGATCAATTAAATACATATTTTATATAAAGATGCATTCTACAGAGCACTACTGGTTTTATGGGCAAAGCCTGATACATGGATCAGGTACCCTGTGAATTTACCCATCCATCTCCCCCTACCTTCCCTACAATACAATGCCTCCAAGCACAGCTTACATGAATCAAGTGCTTCACATATTTCTCACTTTCCCCTTTTATTTTTTGTATTTATTATTTTTTTCTTCACAAAGTAGAGCGTCACACATGAAAGCCTAATCTGAAAACTCGGCATTAACCAAATCAGCTGTGCTAAAATTGTGTTCACACTCACATACACACACAGAGGAGCTGACAAGCTGAAACCCCTTAGGTAACACCATTAGCAGCAAGCATCAAGGTCAGTGTAACATCAACTGGCTGCAGAAGGTAGCGATCACCTGGTCACACAGCAGTCACGCGTCACTGAAGCAGACTGCATCCCAATAGCAAACATAGGATACATTTTGCAAAGTCTAGTTACTTTTTAGGTTTGTTTTTTTGTTGATGTTTATTTTACGAGATAGTTTATCAGATTAGCAAAAAACCCCTAAATCACAAAAAAAACCACCCCAAACCCACCAAACCCAAACCCCACTACAACTGGAAAGCACCACAATTTTGTTCATAACATCTTTAATCCACGTTCACGGTCAGAAGAGGCTCTGCAACACAACATCTTGAGCCAGCAGGATTCTGGAAGATTATATTGTACATAGACAACTGCAGTCATTTATTCATTCACAGACCCATCTCACCATTAGAAGAGTGCTGGTGAATGTTATGCAAAAGGTTATATCAGGATTTTTGCAACAGCACTGGAGGCTAAATAACTTTCCTTAGCTTATAGCAGTTTTATAACAACTACAGGGCTTCGTAGAAGTTCCCTGTTTCCTTACCATGCTTTCATTCCTACGCTTCCTGCAGAACTGCGGAGAGCCTGCAAGACTGCAAGTCTTCCTTTAATTACACAACTACCACCACCTTTTCCAAACTCCCTATCTGTGAATCCCCAATGGGCTGACCTGAGGTTCAGCACACACTTTGATAGCAGACAGCTTAAAGGTGTGTGGCTGCCCTGCTTCCCCTTCTCTTGCCATTGTCATAATATCCTTCAACATGAGCTGTTACAACTCAGGGCCTTATTCTTTCGGATAATGAAGTCAGCAGATATTATTAATTTTTGGAGAGGGATGAGAAGAGGTGGAGAATCTGTTTCACACTCACTTTGTTTCTAACTGATATAGTGACTTCTTATGTTTCATGAAAGATAAACCTTGCTTTCAATTTCTCCTGCTGTGCTTGTCACTTTTTAATTGGGTATGATTTGATAGAGTAATTCGCACTTTCACAGTTCAGTCCTGCCCCTACATGCAATTTTACAATGCCCTTGAAGCCCAGAGCTTAATATATCAGCATTATTCAATGACAAAAAGTAATGGACAAGAATACACCACCAGTCAAAAGTAGGTCAGTAAAAAGCTAACACTCATTTGGAAATCACGTCACATCACTAAACCCTACTCTCTTCTGTCAAATGTTTTAACTACATTAAAAGAAATGCAAACGTTGCCGCTGAAAGAGAAAGCTCCCCAGACTAGCTTTGTCTCCTTGCCGCCTTTCTGCATGTAACTGGAAGAGCTGTGACCTGGAGATTTTGCTGGAAGGAAAACTGCTTAAAAATCCAATGGAGGCTACTTCCCTGGTAACAAACTGCAAGCAGCACTGCAACAAATACAGAAATACTTTCTGCCTTTTAGATCATCCATTTGAAATAGACGACACGCGACAAATTAACAGATTTTTTTGTTCTCATTTAATGAATCTATTCACCATCACTTCAAAGCAAAAAAATGCAAAGAGGAAGCTGTGCGTGCCTTCAATCCAGCTAAGAAAGTACTAGATGACAGAGAAAAAAAAAGTAATAATAATTTATGAGATTCTTTTCTGCATAAACATGCCCAATAGTTTATTTTTACATTTAAGTGAATGGGATTGCTCTTTTCATCAGTTCTCTGGGGATTTACATGCTTAGCTCATATTGGCCTTGAGGGGAGTTATTAAAATAAAGAAGTATAAATACTCACAGAAGATCACACACCAGGGTATTTGCTAAGATTAAAAATAGACTGTTCTCGTGAAACCTTAATTGAGGAAAAGTGATTCAGCACTTTCTCTTATTTTATCATATATTTTTCTTCCTCCTTACAGCAGCAGACAAAGTCCAGTCTTGGAATCAGTCCTGGTCAGACAGAGCTGAGGGGTAGCGGTGAGCTCCTGTGGTGGCTTTTTACTTGATACAGAGCATAAATCTGCCATTTTAGAAGCTCCATAAATATCTTCCAATAATTAGCCTGCACAGTGTTCTTTTAAAATAACATCATGTGTTGTTTCTCATCTGAAACTGCCCCAGTGGGGTAATGTTATTTCTATTACTTACAAATATTATTTGAGACTGCACATGAAGGTGTATCATCATTTTTATCCTTTGGTCTTGGTCCTCACAAATGGAGCTTTCGAAGTCCTATGGACCATGACATATGCTTTGGATTGCATGATCAATATTTTCAAAAACTTTTTAAAACTGAGTATCTGACTGGAGGCACCTTGAACCCAGTGTCCATATGGAAGCTCCAGATGTGGATGCTTGGCACCTCAGAAGAATAAGTCTTGTAACTCGAATTAGGTGCCTCAAAAAATTGGTAGCCAATATTACAGCAGATTTTAAGTTCTAGCCTACAAGTCTAGTTCTCCGCTAGACAAGCAATCTACACCTCGAGTCCCAGACATACAAAGTCCAAAGTTAATTTTTTGCCTTCAGTTCTAAAAGGCATTATTACTTTTTTTTTTTTTTTAATTCTTCTTCTTTTTTTTGGGTAGGTGGAGAATGGGGGTGAATAGCGGCACACATTTTTATACAAAATTCAAGTTTGGAACAGCCACAATGGCTGCTAGCAGATCTAGACCCAGCATGAAAAGAACTGCCAGACATTACCTGCCTGCACGACAAACCTGAAACCTACACAATCAGCCTCTCCAATCCACAAGCATTACATTCCTTCTCAAATATTTCATTAGTCGGGCAGAGCAAAACTCCCACTGGCTGCAATGAGATTTTTGCCCAACTTAAGGATGTAGGATGAGATCTGTCTCTTAACAATATAAAAATAGAAGTAGCTGCACGGACATGCCTTGAACCACCTCGGGTAAACTCTGAGGGCAGAATTAGGTGTGAACAAGGTTGACAGGTTGCTTGTACTGTCACTATTCTATTTTTTAAATGTAGAAATTATTATTAACACTAAGAGAAAAGCAAAAGCAGAAGATGATTAGTCGAAAATATCTGATCTTTTCTGTCATGGAAGGTGTGCTGCATTAATGTGTGAAGATGCAGTCTGAAAAATTGCAGAATGGCTTCGATATATTTAAAGGTTAACTTGAAAAGCCAGTCAAACTTCAGAGACAACATCTCAGCTGCTCAACTACATGTCAAGATGATTTATCAAGCCTCAGTAACAAGATTTTGGATTACAGAACAGTAAAGAATTTTGCATCTTGCAGACAGACAGGGGAAAAACCCTAAGAACAAGCTCTGCGTAAAGAACAATGGCCTCTCTCCAGTGCATTATTCCTACGGAATTCAAGCAGAAAGAACAGAAAAAGCCAATATTAAAGAGAGGAAAGTAGGTGCCTTGATAAAGATGTGCAAATACTCCAAAAAAGCTGACATTCTGGGTTAAGTCAATCAACCAAATTCTACGCTGGTTCACTGACTGTGTTCCAGTAATGAAGCAAATACAGAGATATGTAGTTACTACCTGTGTCTTCCAGCAATTGTGGTTTCTTCTAAGGAACGTGCTAATCCTCTAAATATCATTGCAGAACAGCACAAAATTAGCCTGAGGAAATTACTGCCATTAGAGAGGAGGTGGCCAAAACTTAGGAGAAGTTTAAATGGATTGGTTATTCTGTGTATAGGAAGAGAGTCTGCAGCGACTACTAGGTGATTTGGTAATAGTGATCTTATCATAATCCCATCCCACAGGAGGACAGGGGGCTTTCGAGGATTTATTG